GGGGGGGGGGGGGGGGGGGAGGAGGAGGTCAACACTCATGCACTTATTTCTGACCCATCAGATAATTGAGCTCTCAACAATTTAGTTGGCAGACTTTAAAGTGAGACAGAAGATATAGCTCAGCACAAAAGTGACTGATGAAAGGTTCCCTACCGACTCTTACAGTCAGCCGAAATATTTGACGAGACCTCTGCTTTGTACCACTTTAAAAGTCCACAACGGTATTAGGAGGCACATGGAAGAATGAACTAAAATCAATAGACAAACAGATCAAGAGATACTCACCCCATTTCGCTCACGTTATGAGGGAAAATTCCTCCAAAATGAAAATGTACAGGCTGGAATATGTATATAGCCACAACACACCGCGGGGAGATAGATATAATTCACCATTCTCTGCTTAATTTTTGACATTGGGATGGACTTTAATTGAATTATAGATACAAAAACGAGAGCTTACTTGAGAAAACGAAATCAGTTTACAGACACAGAAAATTCTCGACCAAACGGAAATCCAGAGAGGGACGTACAACTCTCTTTACGACACTGAGAATCATACCAACTGTAGGTACAAGTGTCTTAGCAGACCTGAACTCGAAACAGGGATGAGAGACGCTTTCGGCGACATAAAAATTTAAAAATCTGCGCTTTTCACCTCTTGAACGCCCGAAATTTGAGATAATTTGTATATGACTAGCACCGCACGGCCGCACACGGTATTTACAAACACATGTATAACCTTAAAAACGGAACTACGATGAGTGATGCACACCAGAACTTTAAACAACGACCGGGAAATTAATATTAGGCGCGAAAATTCATTTCTCTGGGAAATTTACTCAATTTTCAGAATTAATTACGAGACGCGACGCGAGGTCAGCTTTTCATGGGCCGCCATCTTTGCAAAAACTAAACTAACGGAATTATTTCCATTCCGTATGGGTAACGATGCCATCAGCCTGGACATTTCACGTATACCGGTATGGGTATTCTTGCCATTCTGGAATGGTTTCTCAGTTTGCCATTTGGAATGGGTCTCAACGCCATACCGTTTTTTTTGAGTGATATGTGAAAATTTCAAGAGTAAATATTCATAAATTTCCTCCAAAATAAATGCAATTAAGGGGAAATATGGCAAGATGGAGAGGATGATACGACGTTATTCCTTAGGACGGGATACTGGTGTGTTGTAGCGACAGTCGAACAGACTTGGGCTTCCAACTCGCCGGAAAGAACATTGATCATGACTGGAAGCCGCGTATCCGCATCTCCCACCCCCGTCTGGCCACCTCCCTCGCTGACGGGACACGGCGGCGAAATTAAGTTGCAAAACGGGGTGACTTTAGAACGCCCTTTGTGCGGGAACCCGGGCCGGATCCTGTTCCTGCCCGCAATTCTACTTCCAGCCAGCCAAAGAACCATTTCTCAGCGCCGAAAGGAAATCGTGAAAATTTGTCTCTTCCAACTTGGTATTCCACGTCACATGCTGCACATGCACCAAGAAGAAAAAATGAGTTTTCATCCCAGAACGGGGTGCTTCGATTATTTCCACGTTTATTTCCATTGTCGGTGAATAAATGCTTCAAGAGTGCTCGTATCTTCGCTCAAGAGAGGGCGTCGGCGAAAAGTACCCAGCTCCATCGTATGTTTTGGAGGATGCCCAGGCCTTGCGCTAAATATAAATCCCCTCACGTTCACGTAGGGTGAGATATAAAAAAATGTCATTTTGATGCTTCGGTAAAACAAAAAAAAACAAGAAGAAAAAATCCAACATGAGTATGTTGGAAAAGCGTGCCGAATAACTGAAATGTTGGACAAATACCTCTTATTTTCGCGTCTTTGCTTTTTGCATCAATTGGTACTTTTTGCTAAATTTGGGAGAAAATATTGATTCATGAACGTTGAATGTAAATTAATTTTAAAGATTCCGTCCAATTATTTTGATTTTAAGCTGATATGCGACATTTGCGCACGACCGTGATTTGGGCGAACTGCCGTGCATCGAAATCGCGTTCAGTTATAATCTC